CCCCAAAACCCCAAAACCCCAAAACCCCAAAACCCCGGAAAATAATTAAATTGTTGAAATCAGGCATATATTCAAAATTTGTGGCTTGAGGGCATACTGTAACTGAGTGGGTTGATTTATCTATCTCTTGCACTTCCTTTGTAATTAGATAGAGTCTTCTTATTATGCCTCATATTCCTGTTCCTTCTGTACCGTTTAGGCTTACTTTCTGCATTATTTTGTGGTTGGCTTTGGATACTCGGAGCTATATTCAAGATAAAATTCAGGGTAATTATTTCAAAGAACAGGAGATGACCACACAAATAAAGATATGTTGATTGCTTATGTTACCAAACTTGACTACATATGCTATTTAACCTTCATATTGGGCAATTAAGACTTACTTGAGACCTCAGAGCGGACAGCTTTATTGCTCTTATTTTTAATCTCTTTGTTATAAGATTTAGTTGAGGGAGCATCTTCAGGATCTTCGTACTTGACTTCATCATCAGTGATGTTTGTGCGTTTATAGATCCTAGATTTCTGGATTCCAGAAATATTAGATCCTTCATCAAACTGTACAGAGGCTCTGATAGTCTGGTATGCAATAGAGCTCTGACTCTCTTGTAGCATCATCCTAGGAGAACTCGTTCTGAAAGTATGGTTGCTACAGATACTCTTTGTAGGATCAACCATTAGAGATTGACGATTGGAAGAGGAGAGTGCCAATGGATTGTCCTCCTCATATCTGCACTTGTTTTGGATCCTAAGTTTGCTAGCAAGCTGAGCTGTTTCTGAGTCAGTTATGGATTTCTTCTTCTGCTGATTTTTGAATTTATGAAAATCTTCATTGCTCTTTTCAAATTCAGTCATTGGAATCATTGCTGATTGACATTCAGAACCGTCATGGAAGGTTCTTTTTCTTACTTTAACTAGTTTTTCAACTATTCTGCATTTTGGAGTTTCTGTGAGAGCCATCATGCTGTTATCGAGGTATTGATCTTGAGTGTTCTCATTCGGCTTTGGCTTTCTAGTTTTACTGTTTCCAACTTTAGGAATTTTCGAAGGTTTTAAGTACTGAGAGTTGTTCAATTTATTTAGATAAATTCTGACTTTCCTTAGAAATCTCAGAGGGTTTGTTCATCTGGACAATCTGTGAGTTGCTTCCTTTGGACTTTCTAAAATCAGCACGTGTAGTAGGAGAGACTCAATCTTCAAGACCAGAGTCAGTAAGGGATTTGATGTTCTTATAATGTTTTGTCTTTGTTATGACTCCTTCATAACTTTTGATTTGCTCTTCTTGAATCGCCTTCTGAGGATCATAGACTATTCTACTGCGCTTTTTTAAAAAGTCCTTTTTATTTAGGCACTGGCTTTAGTTTGGACTGCTTAGCCTTGTGCAGAGAGCTCTGGCTCTTCTGCTTAGGTAAAGGTCTTTGCTTGGAAAGATGACTCTTTGAGGACTTATTTAGGCTTAGGTTTAGGTATATCTCTCTGATTTCCAAAATTTGGCTCTGCACTAAAGATTGGCTGCATCTCTACATTTGCCCTAATAGGACGATCATCTGGATTGAAATGAGGGGAAATCACTATATTAGGTTTCTCTGATTCGAGTATATTAGGTATATGGCCACTACTCTTATTCTCTTCAAAAGTAATAGATGATTGAAGGTCTTTCCCAAGACTGTAACTCATATTATCTTTTGATGCTGACTTTTGGCCATTTAATTCAATCCTCTTCCTTTCTGGTGGATTGTAAGAAGCAAAGTTGGTGTACCTATTTTCAGCAGAGGATATAGGCCTGGCATTTTCTTGGTAAATGAAGTTTGAACTGAAGTTTCCAGTTGAATATTTCAAATCCTGACTTGGGTCATTACTATTAAGAGAATTAGTTGGGGAGCCATTGACAAATAAAAATTTGTATAGAGGCAAAGCTATGATGGCACCATTTCTTGTGAGCAAGATATTTCCCGAATTGAATCAGAACTTACAATTGTTGCTTATTTATATTTCCTGAAAAATTCTGTTGAACAGAACTTGAATAACTTCCATTAGGAGTAACTTGAGCTTTGTTGTAATGATTGCCAGGCTGTTGAGAGAAGTTACTCCCAATTTCTATTGGAGCTCTACTGTTTGCTTTCTGAGCTGCTTCTATTAGCTTCTTCGCTGAGGCAATACTTTCAGGATCTTTTTCTTCATGGATATTTTTATGTGAAGTATGATGGAATCTTTTTGATTGTCCAAGGTCATGGATATTTCCTCTTTCAAGCTTGTCATCAACAGATTGTGTATCATGCTCATTTTTAGATGTATTTACCTTCGGATGTAGCTTATCTTCGATTACTTTAACTTCCTTATTCTTAGTGTCTAAAGGTCAGAGGGTTCCTATTTACCAAGATGTACAGTGAGGGCATTGGAAGTAACAGTCTGGCATTCTTTTATGAGCTCCAAGCTTTGCCTGATATGTGGGGATCTATTAGGCTTAGGCACCTCTTGAGCTGTCAAGTTAGGTGTTTCCTCTCTGGATTGTCTACCATTATTTCTCGGGATTGAGCCTAAAATTTTGAAGAATTTCCTACCTTGAGAGGAGAAGTCGACTAAGTCTAGGAAAACATGCTTCTGGTTCTTTTTATGATCTTGCTTTGGCTTCTGTTTTTCTCTTTTGTTCATGATTTGTTTGCCTTTTGTGAAAAATTTCACAATATCTAAAGATTAACCAGTCTTTTTACTTTTGTTAGAGTTTGTTGGCTCTCTAGAACTTTCTCTGGACTTAGTCTCAAATCTAAAAATTAAAGACAAATTATACTTTTTAAAGGGATTCTTAGTTGACTGGAAGGCTTTAGTCATTCGTGGTTGAGACAGATTTTCTTCACTAAAATCTGGACTTTTGTTCACTCGGCTTCGATATGTACTACCTGCGCTTGATGGATGAGGCGATCAGAGGTTCACGTTAGCATGAGTTGGAGAACTCATCATCACCTGCTTCATATTGTTGAGTTTTGGCTGTTTCTTCCTCTTTTTATTGCACTCTGCTCTTCTGTACTTAATAAGTTCTGGGTTCTTTGATTTTTGATTTTTCTGAGGAACCCTCGCACTAGTAGCTCCAGTAATATCATCCTTTCACTTGCCGAAGTCAACTTTGGTTTTAATGGGACTGGAGGTTTTCATTATTGGCTCTGAGCCTCTTCACTGGAAATTTTTCCTTGAATAAATCGCTTTGGTTTGAATCGTCCCCTGAATAATCAAAATTAGTAGCAAATTGGATTAAAAGAAATTTTAATCAATAAAACCTGGATTTTTTTAAATTTTGAAACATCTTATGAGAAAATTGAGGTTCAACAGTATTTCAAGATTATCAAAGAAATATTTAGTTTAAGGTTGTACAAGTTGTTGCATCTGTCGATAACAATCAACAACTTCTATTAGGTTTGAAGTCAACATGAGTGGCTTCTCATTGACTTAATCCTCAAAAAATTAGAGGTTCAAATTACCTTCCAATAAGACTACTGGTTTAGAATAATTAAGCAAGTGCAGCATTTTTGTAACAGAACAATAATTATATTAGTTAAAACCTGCTTAAAATTCGGACAACTTCGCCTAAGAACACTAGAGAGAGTGGGTTTAGTCCACACATGGATGTTCTGAACAGAATTATAGACTTACAGGTGTTCTATAGGGAAGGCGATCCTTCCCGTAATTTTTATGGGCCTTTGCTTTAAAAATGTCACTCATAATTAATATAAATATTTCAAGACTATTAATTATATAAGGGGTTTTGGGGTTTTGGGGTTTTGGGGTTTTGGGG